TTTTTTTTACTTGAGTATGAACTTATACAAAATGCAGCAAGATATTAAAAAAACTGTTTTGTTGAATAAAACATACACTATATCAGATTCATACCGGTATTGGCAGATATCCAAATTTATGATATCGGCATCGGACATAAAAAAAGTGGTATCGTGTTATCTCTAGTCTAAACTGCACTCTGACCTTCCAAGTTTTTAAGAAATCTGCACCAACATAGTGAGACAGAAAATACTGATACAACTGTGCAACCACTTATGCCGGTCATATGTAAGAAGGTTTGCAGACTAAATTTAATTTGTCAAAATATCCAAAGGGTGGCTATGATTCGCAACAGCAGGCTTGAGAAACTGTTTGACGAAGTGAACATTCTTCAGTCTTCAGTAATGAGGGACAGTTTGCCCTCGGCTACCTGTAATGACTTTCAGTGGTGTAAAAATATGGCATAAAAGCCAAAGCTTCCTTGACACACCTCACTTTCACAATCTGTCTTCAAAAGAAAAAAAAAATCTCATGTTTCACACTGTTGCATTGACCTTATACCACACTTACAGAGCCCTGTCTCTGAAATAAACCAGCAGTTCTGCATGGTCATCCAGCTTCTATAAACCATAAGAGTAAAGTGAAATCTCCAGAACAATGGCCTCATTTTTAATTAGCATGATGTGACTTGGCTCGATTTGACTCGGATATTAGGGTTTTCCATATTGGGGACAATACCTGGTACCAGGTAGAGCAGGGCAATAGGACCAAAAATATTTATCACGATATACATTTGAAAATTTGCGATAACAATATAACTGACGGTATAATTGACACTAGACAAAATACTTTACAACTCCAGCAAAGTCGTACTAAAACATTTGACAGATTTTCGAGCGCCGTGTACGACATAAAATCATTTCGAGGTCAGTAAACACAACCAGAGTTCATACATAAGGCACACGGGATTATAAGGGGCACTGTTGATTTTCAGAAAACTCAAAGGATTGATTTTAAGTGTGCTGTATTTTCAAAAAACACGGTAATAACGACGGCCCGCTAGCATGCTCTACCAAAAATAGTGCTTTGTTGTGTATCTGACAAACGAAAGCTAAACCAGTTCCACACTACTGAAGTTGCAGCATTTTTACAAACCGATTCTGGTTCATCCGTTTTAATTCAACGATCCGCTTTCGCCCTTCTCATTCTCCGTTGCCGCCTTGCTTTTTCTGCAATGTGCCTATGAAAACAAAGGCACTGTGCATGCGCGTTTTACCCATATTATTGTTGCCCAACATTATACCGGTATTACCATGAACGGTATGATATGGCCCAGTCCTGGTACCAGGTACTTTTTAATACCCAGTAGGCAGGGATTCCAAGCAGACTGAGCTAAACCAAAAATGTGACGTCAACAAACTGCATGCTACTGATTAGCCAGGGAGTGATATCACTGATTCAGTCATGTCAGTGACTCATTCACAAAAATTAAATTCAATATCCCTGGCAACAAGGAACGGTTACACACAGAGCAACACCATGGCCCAGTGACGAGGTGCAGAGACTTAGTCAGTTTAGCACCAGAGATAACATTAACTTGATATCCTCTGTTGTTGTTGTTGTTGTTGTTGTTGTTGTTGTGTTTGTGTCACGTACAAATTACATCACAGGACTTTTGAGCTACAATGACTTCACCCACACTGAGATGGTACCCAAATTTAATGGAAAACATCCGAAACTGACTAGAGTCAAATCAAGTCAAGCCAAACAAAGTAGGTTATAGTGAAAAAGAGGCAAAAGAGTCAACTACAACTACCTGAAAAGAGGTTCTGGCTCCAAACCAAACTTTTATGTCAAAGTGTGAACAGCAAGTTATAGCGGAGCTTAAAGGTGTTAATGCTGCAATGGGCTTCAAAATACAACGACTAAGGCCTCTATTACATATGCATGAGACGTAACATAACTGCACTCACCCTGTCACGTTTAAATGTGATCTGGGGACCTTTGCACAACCCCTTCTTTAATTACAGGAAAAAACTAACAACTTTAAAAAAAGAGCTTTAAAATATGATGATATCTATAGTTTTACAATACTCTTAAGTACAGAGCTTATTAGGTAGAGGGGAACCAGTTCTAGCAGTGTTAACGACCCAGGTGATGAGTGCCGATGTGTGTGTGCAGCTGACTGGCGAGGTGTCCCGCTGAGTTTCGGTCTGACAGCAGCTATAAACTCATTTTACCATCCTCTTTCTCTCTCATTTCCCTCACGCTCTCTTTTTAACAATCAGCTCTTTTCTATCTAGGTCATGTGCTGCTGAGCCAAAAATTGTTCCACCGGCAGCCAGCACAAAACAGATTTGCTCGGTGTTTTATAGTGTGTCTTCTGCGTCTGTGTTTGCACATAAACTGGTGTTTACAGGGGAACAATGGGATTGCTGAGGGTTAATGTGAGAAGATAACGTGGTTAAAGGAAGAAAATGGGTAACAGGTTTAAGGCTTTCTCAGCCACAGCCTTTCAAATTACTGAAATAATATACTGGAACATATAGGGTTTATTTCACGTCTTTGAAAGTTTATTTGCTGACTTTTTATGTTTGTTTGAGTTGTTCATATTTACACCTTAAGTTACACTTTTAATGTATTTTAAACTTTAAATGAAGGTTTTGGAAAGGCAAAACGTCTGCTTGTCCTATTAGAAATCTAGATGTTTACCAGTTTTCTGTTATTCCCTTGAACATTAAAGAACCTTCCTCTCTGCATGCAAACACAATCTTGCTTAAACTAGGCAAATTTACAAACTGGGGACTCTTAAATGGGTTTTTACTTGTTAACATCACACGTTTTTCTATTAGATGTGATCAATAAATAGAGAAAGGAGCATGCCGTTGCTTATTTTTGGAATGTTATACCATGTGTTTTAATCACATTTGTTTGCCTCATGAGACAAATTAAGGAATCGTAGCTTAGCCGTGCCATATGAAAACAAGATTTATGTTTAATTCCAGCTCGACTCTGTAAGCCCTAACCTCATTAAATTGAATCAGTGAAGTAAATTTAATCCTCATCAAATTTAATAATTTGGGAAGAGATGCAGAAACCTGTCCCTTACCATTAAAGAAATCGGAGTGCACAGCTTTTTCATTAGCTGCCAGGTCCATAAGCAGACCGCTGCTGCCTCCTGCCTGCAAACACACAACAGTGCAACCAGTCATACCACATGAGAAAGATCTACATGTACACAAACTGCTACACTTACTGCATCACAGCAGTGTATGCTATGGAAATTTCTTCAAAAATCCACAGGTTAAAAGTTCAGGTCTTAGAATTTCAACTTACCAACTCAAACTTCTGAGAAATAAACTCAAAATTGAGAAAATAACTTGAAACTTAAGTTATTAAGTTGAAATTCTGAGATAATAACCTGAAAATTTGAATGTTGCAAATGGATGGAATTTTTTTCTTCCAAGTGAAAACAAAAGCAATTAACATTAACAATTTAGCCAGAGCTTACTTAGGGCTTTTAACTAATATCCAGCACAAAGATTTAATGTTACACAACAAAAAAATAAACACTCACAATTATATTTAAAACTAAAGATAACAGGCACAATATAAAGTGAGATAAGACAAATCTTATCTATGCAAAAGTTGTAAAATACCCTTGTTATAGCAATTAAAACTAATTAAAAACAACAACAACAATATTTTAGGACTGAAGTCTCAGCTGTCAGAGGGCAAGAGGCGGTTTATACCCAGCACAGATCACCAGACAGTCTCACTCTTACGTTAGTTTAAAATCTCCAGTTAACCTAACACACGTCTTTAGGATGTGGGAGGAAGTTGGAATAACAAGAGAGAAACTCTCCATTAAAAAAACAAAACATATGAAAGCTGGAGCCTATCCCAGCAATCGTAGGGTGAGAGACGGGCTACACCATGGGCAGGCTGACAGTCAATAGCAGGGCTAACACATAGAAAAAGATAACTTCCTACTGACACTAATGGGCAATTTAGAATCATCAGTTAACCTAACCCCATTAACTATATGTCTGTGGACGGTGGGGGAAGCCGGAGTACCCGGGAAAGCCCACGCAAACACGGGGTTAACATGAAAACTCCACACAGAAAGATGGTGAACTCAAAATCAGACTTCTTGCTGAGGCAACAGCACGCATTTAACGGGATGAGCTGAGGTGTTTCTATCAAGAATACTGAATAACCCAAAATGTAACGTATTAACGCAGTTAAATGTAAAAAAACAACAACCCCAACAACCCCAAAACAAAAACAAAAAACAAACAAGCTAGGCGATTATATTAATCGCTTCCGTTTCATGTCATTTTAAACATATGGAGCTAGTTAGCGTTAGCACATCTAGACGCCGGTTAATTTAAAGCTCTAAATCTGAGAACCTACCTCGTCCAGGTCCACATAGGGACCAGCTCCTTCAGGAAACATTTCATCCACTGCAGGCTTCATGTTATTCTAAAAGCAGTTCCGCCGCAATTAGGTCAAACGGTGCGTTTGCGTTAGCAGTTATCGAGGCTTAAGTGGTGGTAAACAAAACAACCGTGTGCAACACTAATTCATGCCCGGTTTTCGCTGCTGACTTGCCGCTTTCGGTCCGCCCTCAGAAAAATATGGGTGATTATAATATTCCTCAATATGACCACGCGCAAAGCACGTTAAATCATTTCTAATAAATTAATAGATCAAATTAAAGTTCAAGTCTTTAAAGTTAAAACGGTAAGTGCGGTTTGCTCCATTTAAGTCCTGTTTTGACAGCCTGGAAAATATACTATAAATAGTGATCGCAAATGTTGAGTCTTTTTGTAAGCCTCTTGTTAAAGCAAAAATGGCAACAACAATAATAACAAATAAATAGACAATAATAACAACAACAATAATAATAATAATAATAATAATAATAATAATAGCAATAGTATAGAGAAAATACTAGATCTCTAAAGACTAAAAGAAATCATTTCTCAGACTCCATTACATATTTGAAGAATGGTTTGTTTATTTATTTGTGGCACTTTATATGACAATAAGAGGGCTATTTATGTCTAATTCTATTGTATATATGTGACTAAGCTACTAAAAAAAACTGTGTTCCTTTTCACATCCCCCTTTTGTTTCATATTTATAATAATTTCCTTATTTCCCTTTAATAAACCCTCATGATAACTTTTTTTTTTTCATGTCATGCTCTTGTTACTTTTTCTCTCTTTTGGGTCTAGCACCTCTCTTAGTGTTCATGTCCTGCATTGGTCTCATATCCTAGAGTGTCTCCTATGGGCTGGTGGGCGAAGAAGGCCCGGGCCATCTCATTGATGTAGTTGTAGGCACCGATGGATCTGAAGTACTCAATGTAGTTCCAGAAGTCAGAGGTGGTGTACGGCCAGTAGGGAACAGCTGGTGGTTCATCATAAGGCACTGAAAGACACATGGCATGTCAGAAAGGACAGGGTACATACAGTCTCAAACAGTGAGATGCTGTTACAGACCATAAAGTATCATGTTAGGGATTTACTGATGATATTTTGCAGTAAATATAGTTTTTGGTAGTAGTTCATATTCACACATTCAGAAAAGCACCAGGTGTTTTTAACTCCTGATATATCACAGGCACCGTTTCCCACATATGAAAGTGAAAAGAGAGGCAATGGCTATTTATTTTTCACAGAGAACAAAGTAGAGATGGACCGATCCGATATTACGTATCGGTATCGGTCCGATACTGACCTAAATTACTGGATCGGATATCGGAGAAAAATAAAAAATGTAATCCGATCCATTAAATATCACGAAAGCACCTCGCAGAACTTGCAACGCGCCGTAACTCGCCTCAGAACGTTAGCACGTAGGAGCAGTATGCATCACGTGATAGAGCGGCTGCCGCATGCGGGACCTGTTGTGGTCTGGATAGCATTTGGAGCTTCGCTAGCAACCCGGCATTTCATCTCCGACAAAGTTATCCCCGAGAGAAGTAAAGCAAGTGTGTAAGTCCATCTCTGAATGTTTGTAAAGCATTCCTGCATTAAGCTTAACGAGCGACTGCCTCTCACTCTCCGGCTGCTACTTCAATAATGAAACTGATCAATGATCAGCTGATCGGCTTTTCTGTCACGACTCCGTCTCTCTTGTTTGTTTTTGGCCCACTTTGCACCAGAAAGAGGAAACCAGCGGCTAAACAACAGCAGCACGTTTAAGCTTGATAAGCTGTTGTTAGAATTTATTTAATATTACTTTCTACACCAGGATCTTTTTCTAGTAGCTGACGCTGGTAACTGTGCAGGGGCGGATCTAGCAAAGTTTAGCCAGGGGGGCCGATAGGGCATTAACAGGGAAAAGGGGGCACAAAGACATACTTTTCTTTCTTATTCTCATTTAAAATGTCTAGCTTTTAATAAATTATCTGACACCCAAAGTTTTAATTTGATGCAAAATGAATAGAAGTCAATTACTGTATATAGTAACTATTAAGTCTAATATATATACCCCAGTAAGCTATAGTACTTTTTCCTTTGGGAAGGTACCATCTGTGCAGTCTGCAATTTTGTTGAGGAAAGATGTTGAATCTATTTAATATTTTAATATATTGAAAAATAATTGATTTCTGTGCATTTTTTTTCACACTGCATCAAATTAAGGTTGATTACGTCGATTAAGCATCATGAGGTGGAGCGTGAGGGGTGGTTCCCTGTTTTTTATTTATTTATTTTTGTTGTTGCTAGGAGTTGGAACCCTATTAGTTAGGTTGCTTAATATTTACGCTAAGTACTCTTTAAAATACCAGAATAGGGAGGATGGTGTAGGTTTGAGTTTATTAGATTGATCAGTATTGCTGAACTATGAAATATTTTTTTTGCAAAAAAGGAAAAAAAAAAAACTTTAGTGTAGTTGTTGTTTTAAACTTGAGTATGAACTTATACAAAATGCAGCAAGATATTTAAAAACAAACAGTTTTGTTGAAACACACTATATTGGATTCATATCGGTATCGGCAGATATCCAAATTTATGATATCGGTATCGGTATCGGACACAAAAAAGTGGTATCGTGCCATCTCTAGAACAAAGTGAACCACAGCGCTGCACAGGCATTGCCTTTGTTGACTTATTTAACATATTCTATGGAAAATGTGGCTCTTACAATGCTTTCATTTCCACCAGGTATTTAGATCAGCAAAGGGTTTTGTTGCTGTCCCAACTCAATCACAGAACAATGGTATTGTATTAGGTAATCCTAAGTGTAAAAGCTTTATTTTGACAGCTAAACACTGGCAAATCATAACAACAATAGTTGCCTCATATTTTAAAGTAAAAAAAAACAACAAAAAACCCTGCAACAATAGAGCAAAACCCCCAACAATCAGATGACCCCCTCTGAGCAAAAATAACAGGTGATAGCGGGAAGGGAGAACTGGTGTTTACCACTCTCAGAGAGATACAACCAACATTAGCTCAATCAGAAACATCTTTATTGCATTTAAAATCATATATTTGCTCTTGCTGCTAAATGCAAACGTTAATTCAGGTGTCCAGGTAGAAGTCTGTTTAAAATGAAAATTGAATGTTAGTTTGTAGAATAAATTCCTACAAGTCATGAGTTGAAGAGATCATTATAAACAAAAAAATGTGCATGTCATATCAACGCTCCTTTTAAAGGCTAAAAAGACCAAATTATTAACTAATATGATTTGTCTCTAGTATTTCTCTCTAAATAAATACCTGATCTATGCATCCTGATTTTTTTTAGCATTATAAGTGTTCTAGTTTATTAAAGTTGCTTTAAGATTCCATTTGAAGACTGTTACCACCCCATCCACCCATTTATAAGCAAGGCTTATATCACTGTGGAGAAATTCTTTTCCTTGGTAGGGTCACAAGAGTCTCAGAGGTCACTCACCGCTGTTGGAGCCTACATGTGAGAAAATAATGACTTAGCATCTGTCATGTGAGTCAGTATTTAAGGACAAGCATAGCTGACGCGCCCTTTCTCCTTTGTATTCTTGTATTCCAACAACAGTGTGTGGGGAGTAAATTCAAATATACATGAATGGCTTTCCTTTGTGCGAATGCTCCCTGTTGACATAGTTGCTTTGAGTCGAGCTCAGTGCTATAAAAGGCTGTGGAAAAAAACTGAATGTCTTCAAATAACCCTCATGATGAACCTGGTGTTGAGTCCACATGACTCATTTGACCAAAAGACATTGACTAATTTATGGATGCTTCCCAATATTTATTTGAAATAAAAAAATGTAGCAGTTCATTTTCCTATTTGTAAACATTATATGCCATGTACTTGTAATGTTATCTACAGAAGAGTTGTGAAAAGTTATAGAAAACTTTTGATGCAGATATAATAATAATAATAATAATAATAATAATAATAATAATAATGATAGGACATATATTTCAAAGAGAATGCAGGGTTTGATTCACCGGCCGCATTTGGCTACTTCTGATGTACAGCATGTATGCAAAGTTCATTGAGCTTTTTTATATGTCTGAAGACGTCTAAAAGAAGTTTGAAAAGTTACCTCCTTCTGGGATGATCCTGGCCTCTGCAATGAGGAGATGGAGAAGGAAGGGGGGAAGGGAGAGAGGGAGAAGGGGGGAAAAAGTTAACATTTCAGGCATTCCTTGAGCACAAAGATGGGATTCAGGTCTGGAAAAGAGAGCTTTTTCCTAGGGGACTACAAATACCTGCTGCCTCCTCAAATATTATTGTTAACTATTCACACACACACACGCACAAACAGACTAAACCAGAAGGAATTCATCATGGAGACTCAGTCAGAGTCCTCTTTGTACACAAAACAAATCCTCTCCAGCAGCACTATTACATCACATGATTTCCAGCTATTTTCACCGACATTTCTACATGTACATATATCAAACTTAGTGTTAAAACTTATTAATGTTTGCACTGCATGAATAAACTCAACTTTAGCTACAACACACCAACTCTTGAATTCAAGGGAACATATTTTCTGTGGATTAAAAAAAGAAAAACTCACCACTGAGGTGACAGGCAAAGAGGCAGAAGACAATACCGAGCAACACCAGCAGCTTCATGTCGCCCCCCTAAATGAAGAAAATGCCCACCAATGCTGCAGTTTGTTTGTTTTTTTTGTCTATGTTGCAAAAGTGAAATCTCTTAAACAATAAATAAAGTGAATATCTTGATATATATACTAGAAATCTTCTGAAACCAGAATCAAACTCTGCAGCTGTTTACCTGTGAATAGTCTGTGAAGCCGTGCAATGAGATGCTGCTGATCTTCTGCTGGTTCACTGAGGTCTGTGGTGTGAGGGGCTTAGTGAAGGAAGAGGCAGCCGACCTCCAAAAACACACTTAAGCAAACACACACATGCAAGCACATAACCCCGCCAGGCCTTGCCCAGATTATACTGTACCCTGTGTACTCAGAGGGGAGCTGTCCTCATATTTTCACAAATATTTCTCTCAGCTGTGTACACATCGCACCTACTAAAAAAAGAAAAAGAAGAAGTAGTTTGATTTGTTTTGAATTTCAGGCTCATTTATAGCTGTTTAATTTGGGAGGAAAGTAAAAAATTGCACACAGTAGCAAGTTGGTCCTTCCTGCTACTGATCGAGTCTAATAGTTAATGCTGTAAAACAGTTTTACTTCTGATAAAGTAGAGCTGAGCTGAATGGCTTTTATTATTTTTAAATGATTATTCTTTGTTTATAGAAATAAACAGACAAGCATTTTTTGATAAACAGATAAACATTTTACCCCAACAAAACCTACTGCAGCAACTGTAATGTAAACTGAGGTGTAAATTCTGATTAAAACACCCAAACAAAAACTGGGAAAGAGAAAAGGCAGCATGAATGGCCACAAGTGTAAATCTCTCCTGACTCTTTTAGTAGAGCAGTAACATTTGATTCCCCATAATAAATATTTAGTTCCCTGTATAAATAGTCAATGAACTGGTGATCTGCAAACATTTTTTTATTTTATTTTAGTCACATTTTTAAGGATGAAGCCAAATATTTGCTGGTACCACATTCTTAAACTTGACAAATAAAATTGTCACCATTAAAATTAAATGGCATGGAGTCGAGCTCAACTCCCAGTCCTACTGCCAGTTTCTGGAAGACGCCTTCTTCAAGCAGTGGTACAGGAAGAAGTCTGCATCCTTCAAGAAAAACATGATTTCCATGCAGGACAATGCTCCATCACACACGTCCAAGTACTCCACAGTGTGGCTGGCAAGAAAGGGTATAAAAGAAGAAAAACTAATGACATGGCCTCCTTGTTCACCTGATCTGAACCCCATTGAGAACCTGTGGTCCATCATCA